CACCTGTCTCCCCACCTGTCTCCTCACCTGTCTCCTCACCTGTCTCCTCACCTGTCCAGTTCAATGTATACTGACAACATGATGCATCCAACCTCCATCATCACGGCCACGCCCTCTCTATGAGGTAATGCAGGAGAGTTAACTCGTCATTACAACAGTCTGCAGGGACACCTGAACTACTCATCAGTGATGTAACAACGAGCTCCTGTTTCAGCAACTCCACGTTTTACAAGATGAAACGTGGAAAAAAGGAAAGTGAGTCTGCAGAAGTTGATGCTGAGTATTATATATGTATATATTATATATATGTGTGTATTATATATGTATATATTATATATATGTGTGTATTATATATGTATATATTATATATATGTGTGTATTATATATATATATATATATATATATATATATATATGTGTATTAGCATCGTTGCAGTATAAACTCACAGCGTTCATGAACTTTCTCTCTTTGTAAGTGTTTGTTCTCACGTGACTCACTGTCGGCTTCAGTGTTTCTGGTTCTGCAGTAATAAAGATCTTCACATGAAGCTGATCAGCTAGAGGTCACCTCTAGAATTAAAGATGCAGGTGCATGATGGGTAAACACCTGTGATGCTTTCTGCAGATTGATGAGCCAAATATATAAAAAGCACCCAGCCTGAGAGCAGCGACATAAAGTTCATTAAAGGTCATTAAAGTGTTGCATAGTTGAGTCAAACAAGACGTGTTTGACATCTTTAGGTTTTAAATATATAATAATATATAATAATATGTTGCAACTGATGCAGACGTCTTGATTATGATCCAATGAATTCTGCAGAAACATCCATCAAACACAACATTTAGAAGAATGAGGCAGCAAACACGAACTTCTTTTAAACTTTTTTATTCTTTAAATTATTAATCAATAAATAGCAAATATAATAAATAACTAAATAAGACATTTAGACAACAGGCAGTGTCAGTTTCTGCTCGTTCAAGTGACAGTTTTATAAACATGTAAAACATCCAGTTAGAGTGCAGTCAGTGTGTAAAACACACTGTAGAGTTCAAGTTTTCTTTACTTCAAGTTTCAGTCTTTGTGTTCATAGTTCTTTCTTTCTTTCTTTCTTTCTTTCTTTCTTTCTTTCTTTCTTGTGTCCGGTTCCAGACCGTGTCCTCCCCCGCTGGCAGGGAGGAGAAGAAGCCGGCGCATGGAGCTCTCTGCCCGGCCGTGCCTCGCGGTGCGCACCGCTGATCTCCAGCAGCTGCACGGGATCAACTCCAGCTCGTTTCACCGTGGATCCCGGAGGCACTGGACTCCTGGACGAGTAGCTCAGTCCCGGGTGTCTCAGCTGTCGCTACCCGCTGTGCCGTAGACCAGCAGAGCCGCCGTGTTTAGCTCTCCATGGCGCCCTGCTGAAACCAGCTGCTCCCGGTCTCCTATCCGGGCTTTGTTCAACCGAAGGAGCCACCGTGCAGCGCTCAGATCTTCGGTGTGGCCGACAGGAGCTCGGATCCGGGGCCGAGGTCCGTGAGCTGCTGCTGCGGCTCCTCCGCGGACTGGTGGTGGAAGGGGAAGCACTGGTAGTCGCTGACGGACACCGGGCCGTCTGCGCTGCCCGGCAGCGTGTCGGCGCAGGGCTCCTCGGTGTAGATCTGCCACAGCACCACCAGACACAGGATGAGCAGCCAGCGCTTGGCCGGGCTCTTCTCCGGCGGCGGAAGGTGCATGCGGACTTTAGCCGGGTACATCACCCGAGTGCAGCGCTTCCTCGGCCGGATCGGCGAGTAAGAGAGCAGCGCGGTGGCCTGAGCCGGCACCCGCTCGAAGGTGAAGACCTCGGGCTCCGTGTTGCGGGTCGCCAGCCTGGGGAAGCCGAAGCTCTCCTGCTGCACCGTCAGAGTCACGCTGTTTGATCGCGAGTACATTTCTTTTTCTCTTGGTTTTAGTTTTTCTGTCTCAGGTTCCAGAAAGACCGATAAGTGTCCGAGGAGCGCAGCTCTCGCTTTATATCTTCATGTTCAGGTTGTGTGCTTTGTTAGACACGCCCATACCACCAGCAGGCCACTCCCTGACCGGCACCTTATTGCTCAAGGAGGGAAAAGAACCGGAATATTTGCATGTGGTTTGAGGTTTGAAGGCCGCGGATCCGGATCCCGGAGCAGCCGGGCAGCGGTGGAGCTGAATCATCAGGGTTTGGTCCAATAATTACACTCAGCAGGGAGGACACGTCTGATGAAGAATGTCATCTATTCAACGAGAGGAAGAGAGCATTCCTAATGTAATGCATAGTATGAAAATGTCTAATCTAATCATACAAATATGACAATAGTGCTTCAATATTCATGTTTCATTGTTGTTTTATTTTTCTTTATGATGACTTTTAATACTTTTTATGATCTGTGCATGTGTCTGTTTTTACCAAATCAAACATCCTTCATGGACTAATATATAACTTCAATAATAATAACTCCATGTTGCTGCTCACTTCACCTTCAGAAGATATTCAGAAGATATTCAGAAGATATTCAGAAGATATTCAGAAGATATTCAGAAGATATTCAGAAGATATTCAGAAGTCCCTCCAAGGAGCTGCTAGTTGACTGTAAACACTCAAACAGTCACATGTGAGAGTTACTCTGCTGGAACACGTTGCTCAGTGATCGTCAGTGTTTCTACTGAACACACGACTCTGAACACGAGGAACGGACGTCGTTCTGACCGACCGTCCTGTTTCTTTGTCTGAACAGGGTCAGTGCACCGAGGACAGCGACTTCAGAAACATGACGTCATGGAGCAGTTTTTAACAAATACAGAATAATGAAAAATAAGACACACAAATGACATATTTAGTTAGTCTGCAGTGGTGATATTTTCGTGTTTTTTTATCATCATTTTAAAGTGATTCCATCTTCAAAGTGAAGGAATCATTGCACTTAAATGACCTAAGAGAGTTTTATATATATTTAAATAAAGAGTGACATCAAAGTATTTCAATTCTTCCACATTTCTTCTCCTTCTTTGAGCAGATGTGAGGTCAGCTTCTACGTTTGCATCGGTAACATTTTACAGTCAGACATTTCAGTCATTTTTGTTGGAATCTTTCATTTCCTTGGTTCTCTCATGTGGCGCCTGATGACCTGCAGCTGGACGTCTGTGTGTCACGAAGATGATGTCAAAACACAGAGAGTTCAAAACACACTCTGTGATGTGAAATGATGATGTTTCCTCTGAGAGCTGCACGACGGACAGACTTCATGCTGAGAGAGAAAACTGACGAAACCTGAAAACGAACGTATTTCCATTGAATTCAATGATATTTACAGTATTCTGAAATGTGGCTCATGTTCGTCTCTTGTGGATATGAAAAGTGTAAAAACCAAAGAAGTTCATCTTTCACCAAAATGTTCGTGAGCTCAAAACTCTGAGATGAAACTCGATGAAACCTGCTGAGGAAGTTCAGGTGAAGAGGTTGAAGATCTGATGTGAATATCACACAGTATCACATGATGTGAATATGTTGGAATATGGAGACGAATAAATCAGTTATTTTTCTGTTATGTGCTAAATGAAACTGACAGTTTGTGATAGTTTAGCTTGAAGAGAAGGAAAGTTCGTGATGACTGAAACACACAACTATGAACAGAAATCTGCACATTTAGTGTTTTTAGTTTAAAGTGCTGCGTTTACAATTTCAAAGAATAAAACGTGTTCAACTTTCACAATCAAGTCTTCAGAAGTTTATTCTCTAAAATATCATTTCAGACAAAGTGAGCATGAACACATAGACAGAATAAAATGCTTTGAGTTCACTTTATCTGTTTCATGTCATTTGATCCTAAACATATCTCCGCTCTAATATCGGAGTTTTGGAAGTTTTCCAACATGTGATTTCTGTCACCGAGCTCTGAATGGTGAAATCACAGGAAGTTACATTTAGAAAAGTCCAAAACCAAAGAGGAAGACACTTTATTTCAATGCACACGCTGTGTGTGAGTCAGACACGCTGTTTATATCAGGATAATTATGGATTTGATGCTTTTTAAATCAGCGTTTGCATGAATTTTACAAGATTTTCTATTTCAGTGTTTCTTAAAATCTCTTTTTACTTGTGAGTTTATTAAAAACTATTCTGATGAGTAGGAAATGGTCCAAATATGAAGATATAGTCGTGAAAGAAGCGGCTTGACTTCTTCTTTTAACTTCAAACATTGTGAGAACCAACACGACGTCTTCAAGGCTGGTGGCAGTTCATCTCATGCTGCTAGTTACTGCAGAACGGTCTGGAGTAAAACACAACTAAATACTGCTGAGTCATGTAAACAGTACAGTTTGTAGCTGAAATGATGGAATAACTGCCGGCAGGAAATGCATGAAAAAACGTGATGAAGAGAAATCAGAAGCAGATTTAAAGGAATTATTTAAAACCTTTAGTGGTCTTTAACGTGTGTTTTCATGTCTGATGAACAATGAAACTCTTATTTCAGCAAATATGTCAGATTGATCAAAGTGTTAATCTGGTTGTTCCCGGAAAGCTCCGCCTGTCGGGTTCCACCTCAGATCATGTTACAACACATGTGATCCCATCATGCACTGCTGTTAGAGGACAGATCACCTTTTCTTAGAACACTTCCCCGAACATCTCAGTTCATACAAGGAACACAGATTTATTGTCGTTCGATATTCATGAGACAGGAGAACAAATCAACAGCGTGCAGCTGATTCAATCCAGTGAAAGCTGCATTATTCTTTACTTTTTACACTGACCCGAGATCCTTTCAGCTCCTTTAGTTTCCTATAGCTTCCGCTGGCTGCAGCTACTTGCTCAACACAGCAGCCAGACAGCTTACTACTGAGTAACAACTCAGAGAAGGTTTTTTAAGCTAATCGGCAGTGTCTGAAGATATCTGACACAGTGTTCAGTGAAACCACTGGTGGGCTCTGTGGGAGTCTCGTCCTCATCCTCAGGTTCACTGTGTCTGAGATCACAGAGTACGTGACATCGTTCATATTCTCTTCTCTTACTAAAGAAAGCTGATGAACGTTGAGTGGGTTTCTATGGAATGATGAAGGAGGAAGAAGATTAAATGAATCATGCACCGCGAAGTATTTCCTCTTCCTTTAAATCTCTTCTTCTGATCTGTTGAGCCGGCAGCGTTTGTGCATCCTGGAATATTTATTATCAGTTTCATCTACAAGACATGGATCCGCAGCCACTGAGAGCAGATCTTAGGTCTGATTATATTATCATCAAAACAATATTTAAAGAGAAATGAAAGAAGTTGTTTTGTTATTTGTCTTTGACCTCCGGTTTGATCGACTTTAAAACTAATCCATGCGTCACAATAAGTAATTATTCACCTCAATAACGTGACGTAGTCTTGAGGGTACTTTGGGTTACCTGAGTACCAAACATGCTGAGTAAGGAGAAGAGAAGAGCAGCATGACTCAGGATGTGGAGCAGAGAGATGGACACATCACAGCACAGCTCAGGTTCTGCCTTCCAGCTGTGAAAACGTTCATCCATTATCTGAGAACTGGAATCATTCGGCACTTTAGTGATGTTGAGTTCACATTAGTGATGCTGAGTTCACATTAGTGATGTTGAGTTTACATTAGTGATGTTGAGTTTACATTAGTGATGCTGAGTTTACATTAGTGATGTTGAGTTTACATTAGTGATGCTGAGTTTACATTAGTGATATTGAGTTTACATTAGTGATGTTGAGTTGCTGCAGCAGCAGAGCTCATTAGAACACAGTGAACTAGTTGGTCCTGTGTTTCTGCAGCTGCAGCAGAACTCAGAAGAGGTTCTTTCATTTCTCGCTGAGAGATTCTCTCTGCAGAAAGAAGCTCGATGAACTTGAAAGTGATAAATTGCACTGTTCTGTGATGCTGTTCATCTTTCTGCTTAACAGACTATGTCATAATGAAACTGTGTCATTCTTTACTTTAGTATTTTAAAATGTGAATCCTGCCTGTAATCCCCTTCTTTACAAAGTAACGTAAGTAAAATAAACACGTGAAACACATTTGTTTAACCGACCCTGAGTGGATATCCTCATGTGTTAAAGTCATTATTATACTCGACTCTCAATATCGACTGCTTGTTAGAATACGTCACTTGCTTTGACTGAATGCAAAAACCCAGAAGAGATTAGATTAAGAAAAACAAAGATAACGTTGTTTCCTTGCAATTTATAAAAGAATGAATAAATTAAAACAACAAAAAGAATAAAGATACAGTTGACTTAAAGGATTGAAGGAGCACCGACATCTTTAACGTCACAGTTACCCATCTGCAGTTCTGGTAAACAGGACGACTCTGATTGAGGTCAAAAGTGTCCGTTTCTCAGAAAGAGTTGTTTGATAGTTGTTGGACGTTGTGCTCCGTGATGTTTCTGCGTTTCTGTCGTGTTTTCTGTCACTTTCAATCCCAACAAAGACTTGTGATGTGAAACCTGTCGTGTTCACATGCTGCGTGTTTTAAATACCTGCAGCATATTTCTAATGCTTTGGTTTCACTGTGAGCTCCTGCAGAAAGAATCGGAAACATCTGAAGCTGCTGCAGGATGAGGACGCCATCAGCATGACATCACACACACACGCACACACACACACACACACACCAGTGCTTCCTAATAAGGCCGGCAGTGAGGCGAGCCACTGTAATGAGAGATGATACATAAACGATTGTGAAACGTTCTGAAGTGACGACACAGAATCATTTAGTTTCAAAAAGTGACATAAAAACTACATAGCAGCTGCCTTTTCTCTGCAGATGTTTTGTTTAATTAGTGCACAACGTGCACACACAGGTCCACAGCAGCGAGTGAGAGTCTGAGAGTTGTGTAATAATTCATGCAGACATCAGTGAAACCAGTCGTGTCAGTGAAGCAATAATTATCAGGAATCCGACAGCAAAGAGAACGAACACAATAGATCATTCAAAGTCTCTGCTG